GCAAGTGCGAGCTGTATGGCCTAGGCGAAGGTGACAGTTTCTACAGATGTTTCCATCCATCTGGTTTGATTTGACCCGATTAATTCTTCTAGAAATGTCATTCTTCTTTTCTCGTAGTTTTGTAATTAACACCTGCTTTTCTTGTATTTTTTTCTCCGTATTTAACACGTATCTTTGAAGCGGTGTTTTCCCTTCAAACAAATCGTCATTGCTGTCAGTGTCATCATCAGAATAATTTGATAATTCGCCATGAAATTGTTCATCAAACGTATCAACAGCATTACTCTTGCCTGTTGATAGTTTAGGCTTAGAACTTTGCACTTTGCTGTATTCGAGTGTTTTCTTCGTTTCAGTTTTGTCGATACTTGGAGATGAGCCCTCGAATACCCTTAGTTTCAAACAACGTATTTCTGTCCCTGGGATATTTTTTTGCCGATGTTATTGCAACACGCAAACATAAAGCATCGCCGCTGTTCAAAACAACGTATTCACCCTCGTCATTTTCATATTGAAGGCTAAAATCCATGAACTTTGTTTTCGGTATTTCTCGTTTAATAGCATTTGCCAGTTGTAAGTAATTGCTAGGCTGCTGTACGAAAAATACTCTTCGAGTTTCTCCAATTTGCACTTGCACTTGAAGATCTAGTTCCGTATTGTGACTATTGTCCATCTTAAAAAATAGGTACGCAATGCGTACATGTGGGTAGCCGTAAACATTAACTGCGATAAATCTGTTTTGTATTCAATGTCAAACGACAGGCCGCTATAGTAAATATCAACGAGTAAATAGCGAGTAAATATCAACTGATGCTTAAGGCCCTGTTACACGGTGCAATTTTTCTTGCAACTTGCAATACAATTCTTCTTTTGAGAGATGTAAATTTGGCAACTACCGAACTTTTGTCTTTATTACACTCCATGGCGTTTCTTACACTTACATTTTGAAGCCTCTTCACTAATTTACATCTCTTTAAAAGTAGAATTGCATTGCAAGTTGAAAAATTGCACCGTGTAACATGCCCTTTACTCTTACATTCTAATGGCTTATGCCAAACAAAACGGCAAAAATGCCCTATAGTTAGCTAGTTGAATACAGTTATAACGAAGTCGATTTTATTACACAATCTATACATTATAATATTTTATTGTATTAAATGCATTTTACTACAGATCAAAACATATATAAAAGCATATTTACAAGAGATAGGAAATGCATATTTTTTAAGCAGAATAGTTGGAGAATAAAAAAGAGAGTAAGGTTCCAGAATGGTGGCACGAATGCTTGGATAACATAGCTTAGTTTAGAAGTAGAGAAAGAAGATTTCAGACGTTTTCAAATTATTTTGTTTTGATGTCCCTTGATTATATCAGCATGTCTTTGTTACATACAACATTGGTTATTTTGTTGATCAATGAATGTTATACAAGTTAATAAATGTTAGAATTGTTATTGCTCCAGTAAGATTATAATTTTAAGGCTTGTTTGCCAAAGTTTATTGACAATAACAATCTGTTATCACCATTATAACTAAGCTGATAGTGTGATTTCATAGATCCAGAAGGAAGGTACAGGTGGTTTGCAATGTTGATTACAGATAACTTATCAGCATGGAGATAATAGCACTAGTTCCTAGGTCCAATAAGACTGCATGGCTTGTTTGCAAGTTTCACTGACAATATCTTATCACTGTAGTAATCAGTCCGACAATCAGGCAACATTGAATGCCACCATTCATCATTGATATAAACGTGTATTGCTGCCTTTATACCAGGAAGGCATGTCCTAGGACCTGGATTTCCCTCCACATCATTTGAAAGTCTCAGTAATAATGGCACATAAACATTGTGATTGTATATAATTTGAACATACCATAAGCACAATTCACTGTTCTTTTGACTCTTAATCAATTGGTTCTTTAGATATGGCAAGCAAAATACATTAATATAAAACATTTACAGTATTTGATTCCAAATCTTGCCATTCAGACGGCAGAGACTGTTTTTACTGTCTAGAAAATTGTGGTGTGAACCAATCCTGGAGCGATGAACTTCAATAATGATGCCCATATTTGTAGCCTTAAACTTAATATTTTGTTTGAATATATCAGCAGAATGGCTGTCGTTTCATTTATATGTACCAGCACAATGGCTGGTTTCAATTTCAATACCTGCACTATGGCAAGGTCTAATTTTAATACCTGCACAATGGCAAGGTTTTTGCTTGCCATATCTCAAGAACCAATTAAGAGTCAAAAGAACAGTGAATTGTGCTTATGGTATGTTCAAATTATATACTATCACAATGTTTATTTGCCATTATTACTGAGACTTTCAAATGATGTGGAGAAAAATACAGATCCTGGGACATACCTTCTTGGTTCCTACTACTCAGTAATACACGTTTATATCAATGATGAATGATGGCATTCAATGTTGACTGTCGGACTGATTACCACACTGATAAGATATTGTCAGTGAAACTTGCAAATAAGCCACGCAGTATTAAAGATTTGCACGCTCATATAATCCGATTGTGATCAAAATTGCTCAACCACAACGTTGACTTTACCTTGACTTTTAATTATATAGAAATTTGTCAAAACTCAAAGCAGCCCTTCGAATAAAATTCGGACTAAACATTCACAAAATTTTCCGAAAATATTGACAAACGCACGAACAGTATGTTCGTCACCTTTCGTTTATCCGACGAAAGCCGAAGATTAACGACAGACGTACGTATACCCACAGACACTTTTTCAACTACATAGTGGTTAGCCACGCATGCGCAGTAGTGGCTACCCACAAAAATGTTAGAACGTGGAAACCTGCCAAACGAAGCTACCAAACGCGCCAAAATGTGGCCGAAACGTTTTCTTTGACGTCATATTTGTTTACAGTTCATGCTTCAAACTTGTTAATTTCATTGGACAAAGCATCAGAATTAATTATAGAACGTCACATTTCAAACGTGAACAAACGCATGAAATAGTTCATGCATCATGCTCGAACGTAAATGGCAGTATGTAAACATGGATCATGAATCCATGACGACAGTGATGACGAGCGGCAGAATCGCTTATTATTTAAATTTTCAATACATTCTTACCCATGAGATTCTCAGCAACCTCTTGATCAATCTCTCCGATCTTTTCCAGCAAATCTTGGGACATGATGCACAGCAAAAATTTATATAAATGCAATTTAAAAACAAATTCAAAGTTATAGATGCCCGAGTGCTGTAATATTTCAACTAAATGACACACGTGGCACGAATCGACGCTATACCAAAATGCATTGCCCGAAATTGTCATGCTTCCACTACAATATCACCATTCACCGATTTGTTCAATTCACTGGTTCAATTAGCCAATTCGCCGGCAATTCTTGAATCGATTGTAAAGTTTATATTATTATATTACATTATGTCACTGTAGAATATGTAGGATAACATATTCATGTTACTAAGTAATTTAATATGCATGATTAACGTTACTAGGTGAGGCATCTGGTATAAGCATGTTGTACAATTTAGAAATAAATACTTTTTTACGTAAAGCCGGTGTCAACAACATGGTGTCAGGTGCGGGATCTTTAAGAAATTAAAAAATATGGCTGAATCGTATTTTCATAAACCTGGTCCGCTAATATTCTATGGAAATATAGCTGAAAATTGGAGGCGTTTTGTGCAAGAATACGATGTGTTTATTGCGGCGGCTTGTAGCACAAAACCAAAGAAAACCCAAGCATACATTTTGCTAAACTTGGCCGGAGGAGAAGCAATCGAACGAGAGAAGTCATTTACGTATGGCGAGGACGAATCTAAAGAAGATCCTGAATGTTTAAAGATGAAGTTTGGAGAATTGTGTAATCCACAAGCGAATGTAACAATGGAGGGGCACAAATTTAACACCCGAGTGCAACAGCGTGGTGAACCGATTCAATCGTATGTCTCCGATTTAAAGAATAAGGCTAGTACTTGTGAGTTTGGTGACTTGAAAGATGAAATGATTAAAGATCGGTTGGTTTGTGGAATTGAAAATGACAAGCTGAGACGAAGCCTGCTACGAGAAGACAAGCTAACTCTTCAGAAAGCGATCGAACTCTGTCAGATAAGCGAACTGTCTGAACAACGAATGAAAGAGCTGATGACTGCATCAGAAGTGCATGAAGTAAAGTATCCATGGCAAAAAGATCACGGAAGTCGACAACAACGACAGCTACAGAATGGACAACAGCAGCAGCAAGTATCTAGTCATAGAAACGAAAGTGGCAAGTTTCGACAAACGGCAAAATCGAGAGGCGATCAGCATCGACAGAGGCCATGTTCGTACTGTGGAAGCGTGCACAAACAGCGAAACTGTCCAGCCTATGGAAAGAAATGTCGTGCGTGTGGTAAATTAAATCACTTTGAAAGAGTTTGCCGATCAACTACGACTCAACCGATGAAACATAATCAACAAGTAAACACATTAACCGAAGGAAGACAAGGCATTCAACCGTTTCTTATTGAAATGTTACGTGCATATAATATACAAGCAGTTAGTCATGATACATTAAGCATTACAGTTGAAGTGCAATCAAAGCCATTGAAGTTGAAGGTAGACACAGGAGCTAAATGCAATGTGCTGCCAAAATATATTCTAGATTTGTTGAATATTTGCAATAAGATTGATTACACTAAGAAAGTTGAGCTAATTAGTTACAGTGGAAATGCAATACGCACAATAGGGCAAATACACCTTTCTTGCAAATACAATGGTGAAATTTATAATATATTGTTTCAAGTGATAGATCAGTCCTTTGAGCCATTAATAGGTTTACAGAGCTCACTTGATTTGAATGTGGTCACTATAAATAATGCAGATTCAGTACAACAATCATCTAATTTAGAAACATGCAAGACACATGTTACTCATACAGTCATAAATAAGGCATATATTGAGGAATGTTAAAAGGATGTTTTTGGCACGGATCTTGGTAAACTTCCAGTGGAATATCGTATGAAGCTAGATCCTGATGTCAAACCGGTTATTAGACCACCAAGACGAATCCCTGTGGCGATGCAAAATAAGGTCAAAACGGAGTTGGAAAGGATGGTAAAGATTGGCGTATCCTCTTTCGTAGCGGTGAAGAAGAAAGGAAAAGATGAAATCAGATTATGCATCGATCCAAAAGATCTTAATCTGGCCATTCAACGGCAACATTATCCAATGAGAACGATTGAGGAGGTAGCGGCACGAATGCCAAATGCAAAGTTCTTCACAGTTCTAGATGCTTCCAGTGGCTTTTGGCAGATTCCCCTGGATTACGAATCATCGCTGAAGACAACGTTCAATACACCATATGGTAGATATCGCTTTTGTCGTATGCCCTTTGGAATAAAGTCTGCGTCAGAAGTATTCCAGAAAGCGATGGATCATTTATTAGAAGGCTATCCATGTGAGGTCATCGTGGATGATATCCTAGTTTGGGGAACAACTGAAGCGGAGCACGACGAAAGTCTCATTAAAGTCCTTGATAGAATTCGAGAAATCAACTTGAAGCTCAAATGGGACAAATGTAAATTCAAAGTGAAAGAAGTTGGATATGTTGGTCACCTCTTAACTGGAGAAGGATTAAAACCAGATCCAGAAAAAATTCGTGCAATCGTAGAGATGAAGACGCCTGAAAATGTGAAAGATTTACAGCGATTTCTTGGCATGGTGCGTTATCTTTCGAAGTTTGTTCCACGTTTGAGTGAACTTGCTCTACCGCTACAAATCCTAACGCATGTAGATACACCTTGGGCTTGGGATGGTGTCCATCAGAGAGCCTTTGACAACCTCAAAAGTGCGATTAGTTCTGCACCAGCCTTACCGTTCTATGATGTGAGCAAGCCAGTCACACTAACGTGCGATGCATCGTTTGGCGGTCTTGGAGCTGCGTGTTTGCAGGATGGTCTACCGGTAGCATATGCTTCGCGATCATTGACCAAAACAGAACAGAACTATGCTCAAATTGAGAAAGAGCTTTTGGCCGTAACATTTGCATGCAACAAGTTCCATGACTACATTATGGGAAAGAATGTGACGGTTGAATCTGATCATAAACCGTTGGAGATAATTATGAAGAAGCCTTTGTTGACGGCACCAATGCGGTTACAACGAATGATGCTACAATTGCAGCGATATGATTTATCATTGGTTTATAAGAAAGGATCTCAGTTGCACATAGCAGATATGCTATCTCGTGCGCAGCTAAGTCAAACTTCGCCTGCAGATAGTTATGAAGACTATGAAGTATTGACAGTGCAACCAGTTGGATCACATAAAATGGCTGAGTTACAGCGAGAAACAGCTTTGGATCCTACATTGACGACTCTGGCAACAGTAATACTTCATGGTTGGCCAGAAAATATGAATGATGTTTCAAAAGACTTGAAACCATATTTCAACGTCAGAGATCAATTAGCTACGAGAGATGGTGTTATCTATAAAGGTGAAAAGGTCGTGGTACCGAAGTCACTTCAATCTGATTATTTACAGCGTGTCCATTTGGGTCATGCAGGTATCGAATCAACCAAAAGAAGAGCTCGAGATATCCTGTACTGGCCTGGAATGAGCGAAGATATTGAAAGGCTCGTCCGTGCCTGTTCTGTGTGTAATAGTTGCAAATCACATCAACAACGCGAGCCTCTTAAAATGCATGATGTTCCGGAAAGACCATGGTCTCGTGTGGCTACAGATTTGTTTTATTGGAATGGGAAAGATTATGCAATGGTCACAGATTCTTTTTCCGGTTGGATTGAAATAACTAAGTTGAGCAACATCTCTTCAAGAGCGGTGATTGAAAACTTAAAAGAAGTTTTTTCAAGATTTAGAATTCCAGATGTGCTTTATTCGGATAATGGTCCACAATATTCCAGTGAAGAATTCGAAATGTTTTCTCGTGAATGGGGTTTTGGTCACGTAACAAGTAGTCCATACTATCCACAAAGTAATGGTCTAGCGGAAAGGGCAGTACGTAGTGCTAAAGAGTTGCTGGAGAAATGCAAAAGAGATGGAACGGATATAAGCTTAGCTTTATTAAATCAGAGAAACACCCCACGAGATGACATTCTTGGATCACCTGCGCAAAGATTAATGTCGAGACGATTGAAATCTGCGCTTCCATGTTCTGACAACTTGCTGAAACGCCAGCAGTTTAATGACTTGATAGTTAAAGATCGTTTGAGTCAAAGAAGGCAGCAACAAAAGAAATTTTATGATAAACAGACAAAGTTTCTACCAGCGTTGGAAAGTGGGGATGTAGTGCGAATGCAAACACCAAAAGGTTATGATCAGCTTGGTTTTGTTGTGCGTCCTGCAGAAGAACCAAGATCATTCGTGGTCAAATCACAGGGCTAAGAATATCGAAGAAACAGAAGACACACCAGAGCAAAAGCAAAATATCGAGCAGAACCCAGCAATTGGAGAAATTCCTGAATCATCTAAAAGATCATTAAATACTGAAGGACAAGAGAAAGAGAAGTACTCTAATGTAGTGGTAACCAGAAGTGGACGTATATCTAAACCTAACCCTAAATATAAGGATTATTTGAAATAGAATTGAACATTATTAACTAGCATATTATTGGACAATTTGAACTTGAACAGTATTTATTTAGAAAACACTAAAAAAAAAAATTAGAAAACACTAAAAAAAAAATTAAATAAGTAGTTTAAACAGTTATGCTCTTTAAACTTAGGTATGTTATAGATTATAGCTATTCATTGATAAAAGAGAAGATGTAGAATATGTAGGATAACATATTCATGTTACTAAGTAATTTAATATGCATGATTAACGTTACTAGGTGAGGCATCTGGTATAAGCATGTTGTACAATTTAGAAATAAATACTTTTTTACGTAAAGCCGGTGTCAACAACAGTCACCATGGAAAGACTAGGCGGAGAGAGAAAAACAACAGAACCTTGGAATTGCCGTTTATGTAATTCGTTCCAAGCTCTAACGTTACGGATATTGTTGAGACATTTCAACGTTGTCCATGCAAACGAAGTAAACTTTCGAGTAGTGTGTGGCATCGACGACTGTTCTGCAACATTTAGAGTTTACAACTCTTTTTACAAGCATGTTTTAAAGCATCACAAAGAATTGTACGACAACAAGCTCCTGGTTACCGATGAAAGAATTGAAGATGCGCACAATCACGCAGATGAAAATGATGAGTGCTCTGTTTATGATTCTACTGCTACATGTGAATCAAGTGATAGCAGCCTTAGCAGCGCTGATTTTGAAAATGAATATCATATTAATAAAGAGCAGGTATGCATTAGAACATTTTTTGAACAATTTATACATAATTTTTGTATTGGTTAATTTTCTGTAATCACTATATCACATAACTCTGCTAGTCATAACAGATGTGACAAATCATACATTAATAATAACTAATTGTGAATGTTTGTATGGTTCAATTAAAAACTTTAATTTAATGTCTGTTCTTTGTGCTGACTCTATTACTTATATCTTGAAAACAGGGATAGCAGTGACATGTTCAGAAAAACGTCACCTAAGTTTTTATTTCTTATAATTTGCTAATTGCCTATATATTTTTTTCAAGGACTTTGATATAGATATCAAAAGGAGTGCAGCTTCTTCTTTACTGAAAGTGAAAGAAAGAAATAAGATACCCCAGGTACAGTTACTTATCTTACACACCCTGCTACTACTTATATAGCCAGAAAGTAACCTTATTTAATTTTATTTCCATTTCAGGTTGCAATGGAGTCTATTATGGACAGTACTGAAACTTTGATTAAACAAGTTGTTAGCTCTGTAAAAAGCGATGTGCTAAGAGTTTTGGAATCTTGTGATGAAAAAGATGTAGTAAAAGATTTATTTGAGTCCTGCCCTGATCCATTTGTTGGTATTGAAACTGATGCGTCGCAGTCCAAATACATCAAAGAAAATTTCAATTATGTCCAGCATAGAGTTGTGCCACTGGGATGCAAACTTTCAAGGAAAAAACAGGGACCAAATAGAGTAATTTGTGAGAAGGAAGAGAACTTCATTTACATCCTTGTTCTTCAAAGCCTGAAGCAGATGCTTTCAAATGGGAGAATCTCATTGATGGTTACACAAAAACCCAAGTGTTGTAGTCAGGGTGTGTTCTACGACATACAAGATGGCCAAATTTACCAAAGTGATGAATACTTTAAGCAGCATGAAAATGCCCTGTCATTAGTTCTATATCATGATGAGCTTGAAGTGTGTAATCCTATTGGCAGTAATGCAGGTACTAGTTTATTTTAAAGCTTATTATTACAGTTATTGCTCCATGTATGCATTTCGAGCCACCTGTCAAAAAAGGTTGATGATTAGGCCATTAATGCCATATGACAAATTTATTCCCATTTAAAACATTATGCCCAGGGTCCATGATTATTTAGTAGCCTTGCATTCTTTTGCTTGTCTTTGTATAGGTACACCTAAGCTGGACATGTACTATTACACAATTGGAAACATATGTCCAAAGTTCAGATCAAAAAGATGTGCTGTTAGATTATTTGCCATTGCTAATGCAAATCTTGTAAAGAAGTATGGTATTGAGCCACTTGATGATTTGCAACTTCTATACAATGGTTAATCAATAGAGATCAATGGCATGGAGAAGGTCATCTATGGTAAAGTTCTGATGTGTACTGGTGATACCCTTGGCCAACATTACTGGGCAGGATTTAAAGAAGGTAATTTTTTTTAAGGACCTGGATTAATTGATTATAGATTTATTCTGCAATTGTTTGTAGCCCTCCTACATACCATCACAGACCTTGCTCAGTTTTAAATAATTCAGTCAGTTTTGTCTGAATTTAGGATTGTATAGGAAAGTATGATAAGTATGATTTGCTTTAAGTTGCAAAACCATTTTTGTTTGCTTTGAAGGTGTTGGGGCAGCATTTCAAAAGTGCCAACATTGCCAGTGTGCATTTGACCAAATGCAAACTGACTTTCGTGAGACTGCTTTTAGTCTTCGGACAAAGGAAAGTTATGATCACCAATGTGATGAATTTGAAGAAGCTCCAAACGAGATCATAAGGAGGGACCTTCAGACCACATATGGGATTAACAAGAGAAGTATATTGTGCAAGCTTCCCACCTTTAATGTCACAAAGCAGCTTCCTCAGGACATAATGCACACGTTATTAGAAGGAACTGTTCAATATGAAATTCGTCTAATTCTACTACATTACATTCAATCTGGGGAAACCACATAGCACTGATCAATGGTGCAATTGCCAGTCATACATATGGCTACTCTGCAATCAGTGACAAGCCCGATCCTCTTCGAGAAACTGTATTCTTTGGTGATGAGCGATACAAACTCAAATACAAAGCTGCACAGGCAAGATTGTTCCTGCAACTATTGCCATTCATCATTGGCCCTTTGGTTGATCAGGATGATCCATACTACCAATTCCTGCTGGAGCTTATCCATATTGTTCAGTTGGTCTTTTCCCTTGTTATAAAGATTGACACAATCCATTATTTGAAGCAGATCATTTATGAGCACCTTTCAAATTTCAAAACGCTGTTTCCCAATTCAAACATATTGCTGAAACAGCACTATTTGGTTCACATACCATCAACTATCCAACACCTTGGACCAATGTTTCGCTCTGCTTGTTTTAGTTTTGAGTCCGCCCACAGTTACTTCAAAGAGCTGGCTAGGAAGCAGAATTTTAAGAATTTGCCACTGTCTCTTGCAAAACGCAACCAATTCAAAGAGTGCTGCAACTTTGGTGATTCCACTGAAAGCCCAAGTTCTCACCCATTGTTCTCAAGTGAAAAGTTGGAAAAAGTGGTAAAGAAGGTAGATGAAGAAAGTTGCGAGTGCCTCCGGAAAAAATTCGATGCTTCCGGATTGTTACCTGGACTAAGTTTAGCTAATGCCTACAAGCTAAGTTGGGTGGAGTTTTATGGAACCAGGTACAAGAACGCAGGTGTTCTTGCTGTTGATGCCTGTGGAGATCCTATTTTGCCTGTGTTTGGTGCCATATTATGCATATGGTCAATCAACAGTTACATATATTTCGAAGTAGAGTTGCTGGAAACTGCTTGGTTTGACTATTTTCACCAGGCGTACCAGGTGAAAAAGTATGATGGTAGTGAGAAGTATCGAAACATTACGAAAGCATTGTGGATTTCAATGTTTTCCATATTAAGAATGATCAGTATGGCAACCAATATGTATCAGTTAAATATGACATTGACGATCTCATGGAAGAGCATGTTGAGGGAAGAAATCATCTGATGGCATGAAGGCATATAGTAACACTCTGCAATGATACAAATATTTCGCTCAATTGGAACAAAACTCGAACTTGTCATCTGTTTAAGCTAGATTTTTTGCCTTGCTGATACAGAGTAATATAAGCTAGTGTATTGATGTAAGTTTAAAAGAACAAATTCTTAATAAAATTTTTGTCATGCAGTAACATTGATCAGATATCTCGCTGCCGGCGATCAAATACACCTTATTAAAACATAATCGCCATAGGTACATGTTAATCCACGTTACAAGTGAGTATTCATGGTTAGAACATGAAAAAAAAACTCTCTCCATATAAATTTTTTTAAGAATATTTTTTCTCATTTTAAGTAAAATAACGAACATAGCAAGAACTTTTGATAGTCGATCATTCTTACTTAGAACGATTTTACTTATTTCGAGTAAAATTGATTCTTGATAAGAATATTTTTACTCGTTTTTCTTGTTTTTAAGTAAAATTTTGCTTAAATTAAGAATTTTGCAAGAATTTTTTTCTAGGTAAGAATTCTCGATTTTGCTGTGTATCTATTGTGTGTGTGTGTCTGTGTGTGTGTTCTGTGTGTGTGTGTGTGTCTGTGTGTCTGTGTGTGTGTGTCTGTGTGTGTGTGTGTGTCTGTGTGTGTGTGTGTCTGTCTGTGTGTCTGTCTGTCTGTCAGTCTGTGTGTCTGTCTGTGTGTCTGTCTGTCTGTGTGTCTGTGTACGTGTATGTGTATGTGTATGTGTATGTGTGTCTGTCTGTCTGTCTGTGTGTGTGTGTGTCTGTCTGTGTGTGTGTGTGTCTGTCTGTCTGTGTGTGTGTGTCTGTCTGTCTGTCTGTGTGTCTGTCTGTCTGTGTATGTGTATGTGTATGTGTTTATTTAAGGAGTGATATATATATATATATATATATATATAGATATATATGTGTATATATATTATATTTAATATATATATATATATATATATATATATATATAGATAGATATAGATAGATATAGATATAGATATGGATATAGATATAGATATGTACAATATCTTCATGCATTAATATAGAGTTATTCATCAATGTCGGACTTGGCCAGTGTCATAAAATG